GGCAACTTTTCTCGTTTTATGCCACTGCCTAAGACTACATAGGAACATGTTAATTAATTCGTATTTTCGTCAAAAGTATCTCTCGAGTTGGCCGTATTTCTAGAACTTTTCATTTTTAATCGATTCAATCATAGGAATTTTTTAATTGATTAACTGTAATCAATCCTAAAATCGCTTTTAAACGGTTTTTAGGCCTAACATTACTTTTGGCAGAGTTTGTACGATTCTAAGCAACATCTAGAGGCACTTAAAAATCATTTTTCTGAATCGATTAAATATGTCTGTCCGTCCATCCATCTGAGTTTTATGATGAAAGTTGGTATAAAATTTAACCATAGGATTTTTGTATTATATAAGTCTTTCTTGTAGACGTCACCGTGCATACGGAGTCCTTCTAAAAAGTTAGCTTTTGTATGGCGAAAGGTTTAATTTTTAGCATGTGTGACGAAAATAGTAAAATCCTTAAAAAGGAAATTAGGTTTGCATAATTTGGACGGGTGAACGGTTGACATGGCGGTTCCCCCAATTTGCCACTTTAGTTTTGAAAGGGAGAGAGACAGAGTTAAGAGACATGATCGCAGTTGAATCTAAGCAATAAATTTCTCGAAATATTGTGCATATAGCATTAATAGCGTTACCAATTTATCCGACACAAAGGTGGCTTTAAAGAACCAACTAATAGGTCAATAAGTAATAAAAAAAATTTTTGCCGTATATTCAAAGTTTGACCAAAGTATGATATGAGTTTTAATACTTATTTTTGTTGAGGTCAGTCAGTGGTTATTAAATAGGGGAGGTTTTGAGTGAAATAAAAAAAAAAAAAAACTTTTCTCTTTCCTTGGACTTTCTCGCCTACATACGAATTACAATTTTCCCTGAGACAGAGAAAAATGTTTGATTTTTTAAGAAATACTTTGCCTGGCACAGAGAAATGTTTGAGTTTGTATGAAATATTTTGTATGTACGCTATGGATATAAATTGGAAAGAGTCTTTATATATACTGTGACTATATCACAGTAATGCTGTGACGAACAAATGTTACCAGAGAATTTATTGCTAGAGAATTGGGGGGAAAAGAGAAACTAAAAAAACGAATAAAAAAATATTTTCAATTTGCATTTGTATACTTGTATAGATAGATGTATATATATATATATATAATATTTATATATATATATATAATGTACATTTTAGACAAGGTACATAAGCTAATTGATATTTGTTCTTTACATATTATAAATGTTTCCAATATTTAAAAAAAAAAAATCTCATGAAATAAAATCAAGCGAACGAAATAATTGGTTATAAATTAATGGAATTTGTCATTGGATATTCATAATATGATTGATATAAAGATCAAAGATAGTAAGCCTATGCATAAATAATAACTGATTAGTAGGATAATATGCAAATATATTTTCATTAAAAATGATATTTAATTTTTAATTTTCTTTTTTTGATATTAATTTTCAAAATTTATGTATAACATATCAGTATATTTTGTATATACAAGAGAAAAGATGATATGTATATTGATTTATATTTTTTTTTATATATTTATGTATATAACTAGAACTTTATTAGAAAAAGTAATTGTTTTTTTTTTTTTTTTTTTTTTTTTTTTTTTACAATTAATATCTCAGTACAATTAAAAGCTAAACATTGCTTCATAAATACAGTGCTATTGAAACATTTACATTTTCGGTGTACATTAAAAAGTAATTAATTATACAGATACGTTTAAAATCTTTTCATCTATTTGTGTATATATTATGTATATTTGGTATATATGTATATATATATATATATATATATACCTATTAGTAATAATTTTAATATCACTTTGGTAATTTTCTTTACTTTTTTTTCCTTAAGAGAGAGATGAGTCATTCGACTCTGATATGTAACGTTACCTTGGTTGTATCTTACGTTAGACGAAAAATAAAAAAAAAAAAATAAAAAAACAAGAAAAAATTAAAAAATTAAATTTGAAATAGTTTTCCCGATATATTAAGATTATCCAATCAATAAATAAATCAGTAACTGAATAAAACACAAAACATCTCTGATAACTTATGATATGTATCCGTGCTTTTCAAATTCCGTTTCAGTTATCAGTGTAAACTTAAAATTTTCCAAGTTAATATTATTCAATTTTCTTCTACACATATTTTTCCATACGATATTATGAAAAAAATTTTTGGACATCTGAATAAAATTCTTTTGCTTTTTTTT